CTCTAAGGAGTTCTTTAGTTGTCTTCTAAACACACAGGCACACACAGACACACATATGAATTGCTGGTAGTGAAGATGAGCTCCTATGTTCTCAATCCAAGGCAGCAAACTGGGCCAAATGGCACAGAGAGAAACAGACGGAAGGACAGACAGAGAGACACTCTCTTTCAGTGCTTTAATCGAGCCTATGTGCACCTCAAAAAAGAGGGGAAAGATTGAGAGGGACTTGGTGTTTGTGGACCATATAGTGAAGGTCACAGCATGTGTGCACAAACCGTTGGTCATTTGGTTCAATGCCACATGGCTGTCTGACCACAAGCTGGACACAGGGAGCTGTGTGTGTGCGCGAGGAGCCTTGCTGGGGCCGGACAGAACTTCGACGGGTAGCAGATGGTGGTGCCAGCGTGGGATGGACATGAGAGCAAGGTGGACTCACACACATGGATGAACACAGGCGGCCCTGCCTGTGGTTAGACAGCCAGTGTTGCCAGGAAGCGTTTCAATAAATGCTAATCTGACTATCATACTCCACCACCCTTTGTGATTGTTAACAAACATGTAGAGTTTTATCATTCCTGTGTCCTAATTACTTCTGATCATTATGCAGACCACACTTCAAATTTTTGCTTTCTAATTAAAAAAGTTACCTCAGCGTATTACCGAAGAGATGACATGTCACCGTTAACAAAGAAATAATCAGCGTTGATAAAAGAAGGCTGTTTAATGCAGCACAATAGTCAGGCAGCCGGTAAGATGTCTGTGAAACCCTAATTTGTTTAAATATAGGATGAGTTTCACAATTAAAACAAAACCCTTTTGTCAAAACTGATGCACATTATACACACAGACAAACTTATTCAAAGCACAAACATACAGCTCCCCAGGCGCACACATATAAAAACATCTTCATGGGACTAAGGCTGAGCAGCTGTCTGGGGAGTGCGGGACATCTCTATTGTTGGAGTGTGATGGATGAGATGGGAGATTTGAATGCAGAGCTGAGGACTATAGACCGAGAGGCAAATTTCCTCTGCCTATAACGTGTACCTTCATTACTGCAGTCAATGGAAAAAGATGTTTTTCCTTTTTCCATCTCTCCTAAGGTGAGCACAAAGGCTGTTAAATTAGGGTCACACAGAATGAGCAGATGATGACATGACACTTCGACAACACTGGTGTTGTGTGAGGGAGATGGATTTATTTTGAGTTCATGTGCTTCGGTGCAGTTGTTTCCTATATACATGAAAACATGTCTGGCTAGCTTTGTGAGGCAAACATGTTTGACCTTCCCTCTCCACTTACAATGTTGTAATAATTGCAAACAACGCACTTATCCTCAACCATAATCCCAATCCTAAACTTAGATCTGAAATTAAACCCCAAGTCTTAACCTCAAACTCTCAAAGCTCTTTGAAATAGTGTCAGCTAAAATGACTTTACTTTTCCAAAATGTCTACAACTCAGTGCTCACAAAAGAGGCCATGCAAATTCACCCACAGACACAAACACACAGTGTGGCTTGTGGGTAAAATAACGTGTGAACATCTGTTGCCAGTGACAGGCAATGGTAAGGTGAGATCGTGCTCTTGCCCCCACCCGAAACCTCACACATACAACCAATAAAGACACACACACTCACCCCGTCTCACACACACATACAGTAAAGCCTGTTATCCTGTGTGCAGCTCAAGCCTTTGGCTGTCAGATTTGATCTCAGTCTCTCTGTGCTGGTGGTGACAGAATGACATACACGCTCATCAAAAGGGTTGATACTCTCCTTTGTTTGCCTTAATACTGCAGGACCTGCTCACCTAAACAACAACCTGTGCAAAACTTTGTTTTCCATGCTGTAACTGGAATGGAATAGTCTTTTCACAAGTTTACTAAGAAATAAAACATGAGTAGGGTATAGTCAC